GGAGATCTTCTTCCTATTCAGGCGTTGATCCACAAGCTGTGGATGCCCCATCCCTGGAGGTGTTCAAGGTCAGGTTGGATGGGGATTTGAATAAGTGGAAGATGACCTTGCCCATGGCAGAGGACTGGAACTGGGTGATCTCTAAGGTCCCTTCCAACCCTAACCATTCCATGAATCTCTGAACTAACACAGACCTGAGAGCTTGCCATGGCATCTCCTCAAAGCCTAGAGAAAGTGGTGGATTGGCAGGCCTTCCAAGTGGAGCTAACACGTTTTACTCACTATCTAATTGTCCTTTATCTCTTTTTAACAAGCAGGAAATGTCTGCCTTGACAGGCAGCTCTGGGGCAGAGCTGGCAGCACTCCTGGCTGGTGGGAGCAGCAAACTTCCAGGATGGTCGGGCACCACGTGCCCCATCTCCATCCTCTGAAAAAGGCAGACAGCAATATTTCATCCAGCCAGGGCAGAAACCAACCCTTGGGGAGCCTGATTTGCAGCCTCAGTTCATACATCAGAGCCATTCAGCCTTTCGTTATGATTTTGCATTTTTTAAATGAGAGGCCTGTGAGCGGCTCACCAAAAAAAGACAGATGCCACTTTGAAGAGCTCCCATTTGAAGCCAGGATCTCCTGACTCATCCTCACACATTGTACCTAGGAGCGCTTTAATCCTTGCAGCATTTCTTGCACAAAAGCAACATCTTCCTCAGGTGTTCCACCCTGTGTTTCCATGGGCAGGCAGCGCAATTCACTTTAAAGTGAATAAATAAAAATGGATTCCCTATTCCTGCTGCTCCTAGATGGCAGTGGACAATCCAAAATGAGGTTAAATTTGTTTCCAGCTTTCTCTTATGGCAGATTTCTCACAGCAGGGCCACAGCTCAGGCTAAGGACCAGGCACAGCAGTGCCCTCCAGCATGAGTCACGCCTGCCCTGGCTCTAAAGGAGGTGGAACTCTGTTGGAAGTAAAAGAAGAGGTTGTAAACTTCAGAGCATGAGAGTGGAGGATTTAAATCAGGGTCAAGTCAGAGGAAATTCACCTTCCTTTCAATTAGATCATGAGAGCCTCAAGCACCCAAGCCTCCCTCAGCTTGCTGCCCTTAATTCTTCTCCAGGAATGAGAGCTCTTCCAAGCTGTCCTACAGCCCATGGAGCAATGTTAGGAATGAGATGCTTGACTCAGCCAATATATCAAGCAGCAATTCAATTTATTAATTAATATGGTAACCTATGAGCAAAGACAGTGCTGGGTACAGTGGTGGGGGTTTTCCCCTCTGACTGCACACTGATTGTTGGGCTTGCTGGTATTTATTGATCATATTTATGCATATTCATAAGCTTTTTCCAGTAGTTTCTATTTCCCATTTCTTATATGGGCTTTCTGCAGTTTCTATTTCCCAGTTTTTACGTGAGGTTTCGTCAGTTTCCATTTCTACCTTTTAACCTCACAATTTTATACTTTAGGATCGTAAATTTATGATGGCGATGTTTGGTTCCTTTCCAATTTCTATACTCTATTGTGTACATCCCAGGATGTGTGTCTAGATGGTGGGGAGCAGCTTCTATTTTCTAAATCATTAACCAGCAACCCTGGAGTCCATCTTCCTTATCCAGGAGCTTGGGATAGGGTCACTTCCCTTTCTGTTTAAATCCTTTGTACATTCTAAAGGTACAATTTAAAATGCTTAGTACTAAGCAACATTCTAAGGTTAAAATTCAAAAGTCCTTATTACAAACTAGCTTAAGAGTTACACATTCTAGAACTACAGTTTAATATCCTTAATATTAACCAACATTCTAAAGTTATAATTCAAGCATTCTTATTACAGAACATCTTAAGACTTATAATTGTTATTTGCAAACAAAAGATTGGTTCAAATGCCTTTTTTCATGCTTTCCTTGGTTGTTTATTAGAACTCATCTTTATGGTTGTCCCATGGCTGTGTTTTACACATTTCATAACCACAACTACAGAGGTTCCCTTTATTTACCTGACATGAAACACAACTTTGTATTTCACAGTAGTACATTGCCTCTGGGACTGAATGATAGGGAAAAGCCAAGGCAGAATAACTAATGTCAAAAATTGTTTATTTTGAGCTAAGTATCAAAGAATAACTTAAATTTGAAGGGACCTCTGAAGGGCATCTGGTTCCACCCCGAGCTCAGAGCAAAGACAACTTCTCAGTTAGATTGGGTTGCTCAGGGCATTGTCCTCTTTTTTTGGGGGCTGTCTCCAAGGATGGAGATTTCCCAGCCTTTTTGGACAGCCTCTCCCTGTGCAGAACCACTCTCATGTAAAGCTCACTGGAGTTTTCCCTCGTGTGTCTTGTGCCTGTTGTCCCTCACTGTTGTGGACATTCAGAAAGGACTTGTATCATACTCATATATACTATTAACACAACTAAATATTATAATAGAAATATTATCAAAGAAATACAAATCTGTCACTATATTTATACAATATTGACAAAATATCACTGAAACAACAGCAAATAAAATAAAAATACCAATATTGATTTTTATTAATAAAATGCTTTTTTATGGGGTAGGAAATGGACATTAAACTTTTCCACTTGACATCCCTGTCATTTCATGTGTTTTTTTGGTTTCCTTTTTTGTTCATTCAATTACATCTCTGTTGCAAACTGACAGCTTGTGAGGGGATTCAAAGGCCAGCCAGGGGAAGAAAGCATTGGTGGTGAATTATACTGTGGTAGAGAGATTATTGATTTATGAGGCCCTTTTGAAATATTAATCAATCATGACAATCTCTCTTTCTCCTTCAGTTAGATGCTATAATTCGTATTCAGAAGCAAGAGAAAGCTAGGAATCACAAAATCCTGGAATCTTCAAGGTTAGAAGAGACCTGCAAGATCATCCAGTGCCACCATCACCACAGCACATCGCTATCATGACCCTGAAATTGTGTCCCCAGGTGTCACATCCATCCCCATGGTGGGGTGTTGGGAAGGATGAATAAATATAACTGCCTGGCAAAAGATTCACAATAGTACAGCCAGGATGAAAACAATCCCCCCTACTGGCTGGACAATACCCTTACCTACAGATGGGTCCAAAAGTCAAATGGATTGTTGCATCTCAACCCCCAAAATGTATGGTTCATCCCACACCTGTAACCCTCCCCTGAAACATCAGGTGTCTGTGACCACATTGGCCCAAGTCTTGTTCCAGCCCACCTTGAAGCCCCCTGATAAGGGGTCTCCGAGGGGCCAGATGCCCTCTTGGAACTCCCCTCTCTTGGAACTCCCCTCTCTTGGAATCCCCGCTCTCTTGGAACTTCCACCCTCTCCTGGAGCATCTTCTCTACCCCTTGTCTCTCCACTCCCCCATCCCCTCAGGCCTTGCCACGTGCTGCGTCTGGCAGCTCCAAGCAAGACCTTTCATCATCCCTAATAAACTTTATATTCTAAGAACAGCCTTCAGAGATCCCTCGTCTCCATTCATCAAAGCCATCCTGGAGCTCAGCGCTCCCCGCAGTGGGGCACAGGGCAGGGCATGTTGTGTGTCACCATGGGCAGAGCTTGTGGGGCACAACAGGAACCTGGCACTTGTGCAAGCAGGATGTGTGTGGTGTGTGCAGGGCACCTCTGGGTATGTGCAGGGCACTGCCCTGAGCTTTAGATGTACTGGAATGTCCAGAGCTGCAGTTGGCAAGGCCACCTGAAAGCCTCTGGGGAAGGATTGAGGGACAAACCAAGGGAGAGAATGTCACCACGGGAGGCTGCTCTTGACAACCCAGCCAGGAGGTCCACCCCCAAAAATGACTTTTTAAGGAATCAAGGGACACCTCCAAATCAGCTGCCCTTGTCCTTGTGGAGAATTCAGCTTGCCAGGTGTTCACTGGGAACACCACACAGCTAGTCCAAACAGCCCCAGGAGATTCCCCAAACACCTGGACGACAACTTCTCGGTACAGGGACTCGGGAGCCGCTCGCAGAGGTGCCCTCTGGGATTTGTTGCTCGTTCCCAGAGAGGCTCTCGTGGCTGATTTGGGATTGTCTCGGCCACAGCGACCGCGCAGCCGCCGAGTTTCAGATCTCTGCTGCTTTTCCTGCGCCCGTCTGGCTCCCGAGATGGGCCAGGCACAGCTGAGCCTGGCTGGAAAAGCAGCAGCTTTTATCAATGTGTCCATGGCAAAGCTGGTGTCCCAAAACGGATTCTTTCACCCCGTGTGCAAGGAGCCAATCCCCACACAGAGTGCAGCCATTTCCTTTATTTACAGTTCTGAACAGAAGGAGGTGCCTGGGGGCAAATCCACAAAGCCAGCACAGCAACTATCAAAACTTTTCACTATTTATACTTTCTAGCAAACAAAGCCATTCATGTTTATTGGAAGACCTGGAAAACCTGGGAAGGGAGTTTTTCCCTCAGCTCCCAGGCATTACTAGTACAGGTTGGGTCTCCCACCTCCTCACAGGAGGAAATGGGCAGGTTAAATCAGCAAGAGCACAGATGAAAGGTCTGAGAAAACTCTCCTGTGAGGGTTAACAGAGATTTTTCTTGCTTACTATTCGCTGCATGCACTCCTTCTTTCAATGGACTGTGTTCATTGATATTGTGCAGTGTCACAATTAGAAAACAGTAAGAGGAAGCAGGAGAGGGAACAGACGGTATTTACAGAGATTTCAGCCTCCCAGGGAGGCTATCAAACAGCCAAAAAAGAAACAGTCCGTGTAAAGAAAGGTAAAATATTCCCATGAATGGCTACGAGAGGGGTAAGAAGCAGGTAACTACCTTTTAAGTCTAGTTACTACAATAAAGAAGAGAGAAAATGAAGAAATGGAGGTCAAACTGCATTTGCATTTCCAGTCACATACCAAAAAAAAAAAAAAAAAAAATCATTTGGAGTTATTGCAAAATGCTTCACTGCATCCAAAATAGGACATTTCATTTGTTGAATGATGCCACTCTTTTTAACCCTTTAAAAGGTGGCCTGTTTTGAGGCACAAATAAATTCACAGAAATTCTTCAAATGATAGTTTCCAACATGTTTATTCTCCACAAAAAGCAATTCTCATCTCTGCTCAACAGAGGCCTGGGTAGTGGGATAAAGACATGATTTTATGGGTATTTAACACAACCAGTTTTTAACACTCTACATGAAGTGGCCAAAACCAGGGCTAATGAAGGAAGGGAGAACATTGAGAACATTGTAGGTCATGGTTGACAGCCATGAAGTCACAAGGCTCATTTCCAAACATTCACTGAGCTCTAGCAGGTCCCTGGAGCATGCACAGGGAAACTTTATGTGAAATTAATAATACTGAAGTGATTTACTCAGAGACAGAGCAAGGAGAGGAAATGCTTGTGTCACTGTGCACGTTCATTATGGCTGAGCATGCCAGAGACTCCTTGCAGTCCAAGTTTTATCTTGATAGATACCTAAAATGTACAAGAGCTAAACATAGCCTTCTCCATGTGGTATGGAAATACAGGAAATTCAGTTTGGTGGATTAGTATGGAGCAAAAAATACTGCAGTGAAACAGTACCTTGGGGCTGGGACCCTCAGGGACAGAGGTAGTTAGAAGATGTAAGGGATGAGAAAATAAACTACTTTCATTTTTGTTTTGTGTTGCAAAGGGGGAAAAAAAGAGTTGGAAATTGTGAATGTCAATGTATTTCCATAAGAATAACAAAGGAGAGCCAGACACAGCTAGTTTTGTTTTTTTTTTTAATGAGGGCCCCTATCTTTTTCTCAGCTCTTTGTCTGGTGGACTTGCATTGGGTTCTCTGACATGTCTCATGTTTTCCTGGTGTGCTCCAGATTTGAATTCCGACTGTCAGACTCAGCTGGCACTGGGCAGAAGTTTGGAAACTAGGGGGCTGCAGGGAACCTGCCCCAAGAACCCAAGCTCCCTACACACAGCAGCAAGAGAAGGACCTGCAAAGAAAAATGAGCAAGTGTTTAGGGCAAAAAGTGCAGTTTTACCCAAGGCATGCTCCAGCAGAATGAGGGCAGCCAGCCAGCTCCAGGGGCTTCCACCCACCCCATTTGGAGAGGAGGGACTGTCCCCCACATCAGGGACTTAATTTCCCTTTGCACCTTCTCCGTGCAGTCCCATCCCCATCCCAGTTTTGGCAGTAACTGTCTGCAGAGTGGAAACAGGCTTTAGTTACAGGGCACTGACATTTCCATTGGTCATAGTCAGCCTGCTCCATCTCATCTCCATCTCCATCTCCATCTCCATCTCCATCTCCATCTCCATCTCCATCTCCATCTCCATCTCCATCTCCATCTCCATCTCCATCTCCATCTCCATCTCCATCTCCATCTCCATCTCCATCTCCATCTCCATCTCCATCCCCATCCCCATCCCCATCCCCTGCCACACAAAAGCTGAGGCTCACCTGGGAATTCCCCACTCCAGACCTCCCAAGAACCCAGGGACAGCCTGGATCACCCCGTGCCCCATCCAGGACCCTCTCCTCCTTCTGGTCCTGCTGTTTTGTATCTGCTTTTGCACTGCTCTTCAAACCAGTGTGGCCTTGGCAGGAAAGAAGACAATGCTGGTTCATGCATCCAGAAACACTCTGGCACTCCACACTTGCTGGTATGGTTAAAACAGCAGCTGCTGCTCCTTCACAGTTACTTCACCAGTGTAAAAGTGCTTGCAGCAAACACGGCTCATTGCCACTTGGGCAAGAATAACCTCCCAGCAGGCAGCAGCTTCCCTTACACCTGTGGTGTTTGGGGTTTCTCTGAGATGCTGAACCCTGCAGAAAGCCCACCTGGAGAAAGGGAGGGTGGTCCCACTGCAGAGGACAGGGAGTTGCCAGGGCAATGAGATACCCCTCATGCAGATCTGTGCCCAACTCCAGCATGCAAAACCTCTTGGGGAAGATCCCAGCAGGCAGAGAGGGCTCATCATTTGCAGTTTGTCACGATGATTTCAGCAAACACACTCATCCCATAGGGGAAGGTGCATAAAAGTGGCAGAGCCTGCAGAGCTGACACTCCTCTGTCAGGGGAAGCTGCTCTTTTTGGTTCAGGGCAAGCAGCTCACCTCCCTGCCAGCACCAGCCTGACCAGGATGGCACCCAGGAGGATGCACTTGCTCTCTGCCTGCTCCCAGCCCAGTGAAGTTTTCCCTACAGAACTAACCAGGATTTATAAATGTCCCGATAGACAAATTGCTTTGGGAAGCTGTGCTTGGTAATTGGCTGGTGGTGACTAATCCCTGGCTGATTACAGAGTAGCAGTTCCACAGGTATGAATCAGAACCTGCAATTGTCAGCCCTCCCCCAAAACAGGGGCTCTTTCTTGCCTGGTTTGATGCAGTTGAGCCATTGTGCAGCAGTGACAGTTCACTCCTCACACTCGCCAAAGGGAAATATAATTACAGTGCATTCAGGGGAAGGAGAAAAGGATCAATATACAGAGAAAGAAATAATTATATACAAATGCACAACCCCTGCAAAGAGAGACGTTTCTGAAATCTCAGGGAGGAGGGGAAGAATGGGCCATTTCAATTTCATACCTCTGTCTGATAGTGGTATTCTACAAATGTGTTTCTGTCCTGGAACAAAACTGTTTCTAGAAGCCCCTGAAAAGAGGATGCTTCCCCTGATATAGAGATCCACAAAGGAGCATGAAACCACCTTGGTTTTCAGAGCTCCTTCCTCTCCTCCACAGGACAGTTTCAGCCTCTTCCTTATTCCAGGCACTGTGCCAAAAAGGCTGAGGGTGCCAAGCCAACATTTCCTCAAAAGCATTTCTCCATTTTCTGAAGCTGAGCTTGCAAACTCTGGGCTCTTGCTTCCTGTGGGGGCTCCTGGGCAGGGGAAGGGCAGCCCCATCAGTGATCCCTCAGAGTGGCTTGGTTTGCCATCCAGGGAACCCAAATCCTCACCTGGTCACACTGGATACTGACAGGCAAAGCTGAGCATCTGCTTGCCTGGGGTGGAGGGTTCAGAGGGAAGGAAAGAGCAGCAAAAGCCACTCCCCACCCAGCCAGCTCCTGCCTCCACTTTGGGAAGTGGGGGGCAACTAGAAGAGGTCACAGCTTGGCATTTTGGGATGTTTTCCCCTTGGAAAGGGAGTAGGACTAGTTATTGCCATCCCATTTCCCATGAAATACAGAGAAAGGGATCATTAAAAGAAGTCTAACCTATGAGTAGGTAGAGATGGATATTTGAGTGCTAAACCAGATTTTTTTCAGGACTTTTGCAAATGCACAGAGAAGAGAGAGCATTTTAGGAACACTTCGCCATTTAGATATTAACAACAGATGCTAAAATGAGCATGTCAGCTCTCTGCTTCATTTTTATTTAAACACATAAACTGTTCTCCACTTGGAAGAAATAAGGCCTGTGCATAACCTCATCTGCAGATCTTTGTGCTTGCCATCCTGGGATTACCATCCAGGAGCACTGCGAGAGCTAATGAAATTTTAATCCCCCAGTACTGAGCACGGTATGTACATAATGAATGTTTGCACACACACACAGCTCTTTGTCACCCCAAAGCAGCAGCACTCACCTCCTGCAGACACATCTGTGTTAGTCAGGGCTGGGACTTCCTGCTCCAGGCCATCAGAGTGTGTCCATACCCCAGATCCCAGCCCTGTGACTCCTTTGTTAATTGACAGGCTCAGGCATCAGACGTGGCTCTTCGTCACACTCAGCCTCATGTGCTGTCAATAACTGCTGCTTTGTCATGCAGTGCTAATATTCCTGCCAAAATCCATATGCAGCTCCTCTCTCTGTCACAGGGATCAACCCCACAACAGGCATTTCAGTAATTCCCCCCCGCAGACAGGCAAGAGGAGAATTTTATAGCTGAGTTTATACCATTTTTTTCTTCATGGAAGTTATTGCTTTGTACAAGGGGGTTCCTTCTTCCTATAATTAGGGCCTTTATACATTTCTTTTTGTGTGTGGATATCTGAATTATGAGCTTTAAAACTACATTTTGTATCTTAAAATAAGCAACCAGTTCTTCAAAAAGCCTCAGTCCTGAGGAACTTCTGTTGAATTGTTGAACTGTTGAAGCTGAGGGATGTATTTCCAAAATTCAGGTTGTTTATGGGAGCTAATAAAGGCTTTCTTCTGTTTAATGGAGCAAATAGAGGCTGTCTTCCTATGAATTTTGTTACATATTCTCACACCTCCTGCCAAAATAATCCCAGTGCATCCTTATCCCTGTTTCCCACCTAAATCTCTGTCTGTACCTAGAAAAAGGCTTTTTCTGAGTTTTTTTTTCTGAACAGCAAATGCCTGTACAGATCAGTGAGATCTGGATGCCAAATGGCACATACACAGCATTGCCACCTTTGTTTCACACAGCCTGTGGCACCACTTTGGGGACATCTCTTGTCCACACAGCCACAGACCCTCCTGAGGCATGCAGGAGCATCATTCCCTTGAGAGAGACCCTGCACTTCTGCCAGGTTAGCCTGAACTTGGGTGGTGAATTAAAGGGGAGATGGAGTCCAATTGGTCAGTAGAACCCTTTCTTCCCTTTGGAATCAGGTTAAAAAACTGGGCTCAGCTGCTGGCTTGCCAGGCCCAAAGAAACACCAGAGCCAGCACCCATCAGTATGACAGGAGATGTCACCTAGTCCCCTTGGTAACCCCAGGAAGGTTACAGGCTGGCTTTTAAAAATTAATATCCAAGCAGGTATGTGTGAACAGAGTGCTAACCAAGGCAGAGGTTCTTCCAGCAAACTCCCTGCTGAAGCAAGGTGAAGAACAAGCCCTGACAAAGTGCAGAAAGCTCTGCTTCTTCACCAGCATGGAGCTGATTCTCCCCTGAAGATCTTGTGCTGGTATTTCTCCTGGTCCATCCCCTCTCCCTTACAGGGCATTTATTGATGTGAGCAGAAATCAGAATTGAAACTCTTTTTTTTTTTTTTTTTTCACCTCTGAAAACACACGGGAAGCAAAACTTCAGGAGCAGTTCCCTGTCCTTGACAGTCTACAGGAGCTTCACAATATGGGACAGTGCACACAGTCACACAGGGATCATGAGTGAGGAATTCAAGGCTCAGTTGCTCAGAAGATGCAGAATTGCAGCATCAAAGAGGTGTGCAACTCTGAAAATGTCCTTAAAAAACAGTAACTTCCAAATCAGGCGGCAATAATATGTTTTCCCACTCTAGGGCCTCTGAGGAGTTATTAAATACAATTTTCCAGGCTTATTCAAATGTCAACTCATTATAGCCTGTGCAAATAGGAAGGCAGACCATGAGATTTGTGTTTTGTTATAACTATTTTTATATTAAATCTATAAAATGCATAAAGGAGCATTAAGCCCTGTTATTCTCTTTTTTTTTTTTTCTTTCCCCATAGCTGCCCAGCCTCTTTTTGAAAAGGGTCATTCAAAAGCAGCCAAATAATAAAGGCTGGATGAGGACATTCCAATCCCTCCTTATCCACTTAAAACCATAATATTTCAAAGGCACTTCTGAAGTGCTTCTTTTGGCAGCTACAACTGGAGCCACAGTAGAAACCTTTCAGTGGGTTCTCCTGATGGATGGCCTCTTACATGGATGAGCCAGCTGTCCCCATCAGGAGTGGGAATCATCTGAGCAGTCTGAGGGGACTTTAAGGAGGCATTTATCATATAAAGGAATAAGGGTACCTTGCACTTGTATGGATCTTTGCAGCAGCAGATCTCCAAAGATCTGCAGAGAGCTCGGTTTTGTTATCAGGCAATGGAGAAATGGAGACCTCCCAGCCCAGAAGGGCTTGTTGAAAGTCACCCTGTGCTCTGAGCAGAAGAGCTGGGACTAAGGCACTCAAATTCCAGCTTGGTGCTGCCCCCGTTTCATCATCCTCATCGTCATCCTTCAGCCTCCTCATCCTCCTCCTGCCCCATCCCTGTGCAGTAACACCTAATTAAAGACATGAACACTTTTGTGTTTATTTATCCCTCTCCTTAGGACACTAGTGGTTTTTTCAAGCATTTTTGAGCTGTGATTCTGCAGCTGACAGCAAATGTCCTTTTGATGACTTTGTCAGACTGCCAGGACTGTGAAGACATCTCCAGGATCCTCGACTCTCCCTCTCTGTCCTTCCTCTTCGTGTGCCAGTTCCCACTGGGACGTCCAAATGTCCACTCAGGAGCTCTCCCAGATACTCCAGGGCAGCCCCACTTCTGCAGACACCACACATCTGACCACAGCAAGGGCTCCCTCAGTCTCACTGCCTTTATCAAAATTCCAGGCAGCAGCCTGGCAAAGTCCAACATCAGTTTATTTTAGAGGCCAAAAAGGGTGGTTTGTTTTATTTGCAAGGTTTTGTCAGTCTTTATGTCCTTGAAAGCAGACGAGCAAATTTCATGTAAAATGGTAACAAGTGAGCTTGCTGCTAAGGCAGAGCAAGAAATCAGTCTTATTTCAGCTCAGAATTTAACCAGTGATGAAGCCCTATGCAACCAAAAACTGCCTTGAGTGGAAACAAATGCCTAAGTTCTTGCAAGTCCAAAGGGCTTACATGAGTCCCTGGGGCTTTGAATTCCTAAATTTCTCAGAAGCTCTGGGTTTTTAAAATAAGTACAGTAGCAGATAAACAGGATTAGAGACTTTAAGACCAGATTTATAAACCTTTCCAGGGCTATCCAGGCTGTGCCCACTAGATGGTTCCTAGAAAATTAGTCTCCCTTAAGATTTCCTAGACTGGTACAGACTTAAAATTTAATTTTCTTTAATAACAGTCCCACAGAGTAATTGTTTGCACATGCATGGGCATGCTGAGATAGATGTGGTTATTTGGCTCATTTAATTGTCTGTGCACCAGGGATCTGGCAAGAGGACCTGCTGTGTCAAGCAGTGTCTAATCTCCCATAAAAACCCAGCACTTCTGGCACACACACTCAAGCTCACAAGTTTTAAGCACCCTTCCTCATAATTTATACAAGCAATCTGTGATCCTCCACATTTCTTCCAAAAAAACCCCAAAAAACCCCAAAAATCCTGTGTCAGACCAGCCCTGTCCTCCCAAGACCTATCCTGCCATGCCACATCCACAGCAATGCAAGCACAGCTCTCCTCACAGCTGATGGCTTTCTCCAAATTATACTTTTTGGGTTTTTTAAAATCTGGATCTCAACTTTCTCTACCTAAAAAAATAAAAATGGTTGGGAGAGAAAGTGTGATGGCAGAGAAAAAGCTTGAAAAAATACTGATGTTGTGATAGCTGAAGGCAAATAAAATCAAGCAGAAATATGTACTTTTTAAAAGTTCATGAATTGTGACTTTGGCGTTGATTACATTACTTTGGGGGTCAGATTTGTGCTTAAAAGCCCTTTGAGTGGGTTGAAGGCCATGTGCCTGGATAATGTATTGCTTGACCATCCATGCTGCTCTCAGGGTTGTGACTGACCACGAGGGTACAGCCTGGAGCCTTTCTTTGTGTTGTCACCTCTTCCTTGCCTTAAGAAGAGCTCTGTGAAAAAGGGGGAGTTTCACCATCTCTAAAGTATACAAGAAAAAAAACTCAAATAGCTCGTGCTGATTTAAGTCTGAAATGCTGCAGAAAAATGCAGCCTTGCCTTCAGGCACCTGATCTCATTGAAAACCAATGTGTTCTGGGGAGATGAGGGCTGCTTTTCCAAAGCAGGTTGCTGGACTGGTTTTCTGCCTTGGCTGGCCAAGGGCTGTGTGAGTGCTGCTGCTGGCAGGAGGGAGAGGGAAGGAGCACGTGGCTGGGAAGGTGGACAGAGCTGCTCCTTTTTCCAGCAGGCAGGACTGTGGTGCTGCAGGGATTGCCAAGTGGCTGGTGGCAATCACAGGCAGGGAAGCTGGCTTTGGTCTCCAGATGCTGAGGAGAGCCCCTGAACAATAGGACATTGCTCCCCTCTCCCTGGGACACAAGCACGGGTCAGAGGGAAAAGCAGCCATCATGCCTTCTCCAAGTTCCCAGACAAGTTGTTCCAAATAACAATAATAATAATTTTAAAAATTAATGAATATCTGGAGGCTTTTCTGTTTCAGCTATGTAATCAACAAAATGCTGTGTCCTTCCCCACTGAGGAGCATTTAGATGTTCTGTCCCCTAGCAGCAGCCTGCTAATAGGGATCATGAGGCCTGGCTGTGCTGCCAAGAAGAAAGCTCCAGCATGGCTTTTTCCAAATCTCCACGGGTGCCTGATCTGTGTGCACATGCTTTTTGGATTGTTTTTCAGTCTTCTGTTTCGTTAGGTTTTGCACTTGCAGATAATCCCCCTGGATGGCCACGTGTTGGCTGGGAAAGGCAGGAGGGCATCAGTGGGAGATCTGAATGCTCTTCCACTGCCCACTGCCAAATGGGGTTGGGAGGGAGCTAAACAGAACAGTCCTCACCATCTTGGTGGGTTAGGCTTTTTTTTTCTGGTTTCCATTTGAAAGCCAGCATCAATTAGCATATTTCTCTCCCCTTTTACGTGACTGCTGCTAATTATTTTATTAGTTGCAAGAACAAACTGAATTTGTGATTATTAATGTGGGTATAAATCTCAGTGTGCTCACAGACATGCTTGAGAGGTTTTGCACTATGTTTTAAGATAAGAAACAAGTGACTACAGCAGCGATTATGACTATTGCTTTAATCTTTCACACAACTGGAGACTTCAGTGTCCATGGCTGAGGTCTCATTCTCTTTCCCTACTGAAAGTGCTCCCAGTTCAGTACATTTAAGTGG